TTATGTCTAGGTCCTTGTTCCATTTTCATCTTATTTTAGTACAGAGTGACAGAGATCTCTCTAGTTTCATTCTTCTGCATGTGGATAACCTGTTTTTCAGCAGAATTTGTTGGAAAGGCTGTTTTTCAGCCGTTTTAACTAGATGGTTAGAGATGTATAAGGCTGTTTCTGTGTCTTCTATTCCATTCCATTGGTCAACATGTCTATTTTCATGTCAGTATCATGCTGTTTCTATTACTGTAGCTGTATAGTATAACTTGAACTCTAGAACTATAATGCCTCCTGCTTTGCTCTTTTTGCTAAGAATTGCTTTGATGTTCTTGGTGTCTCCTGGTTCCATGTAAATTTTAAGATTTTTCTAGTTCTCTGAGGAATGCTGTTGGTATTTTGATTGGCTTGTGTTAAATCTATGTGTCATTCTTTGTAGTATGGCCATTTTGGCAAAACTGATTCTGCCTACCCAGGAGCAGGACAATGCCTGCATTTCTAATGCCTTCTTCAGTCTCTTTGTTCAGAGTACAATAGTTTTCATTATAGAGGTCTTTTACCTCTCGCTTAAGTTGATTCCTGGGTATTTAATTTTTCAATCTACCATGAATGAGATTGCTTTCCTGTCTTTTTTCTTGGTAGGTTTATTACTGGTGTAAAGGAATGCTCTTCATTTTCATGTGTTGATTTTGTATCCTGCTGCTTTGCTGAATTAGTTTATTAGCTCTAAGATTCTTCAGGTGGAGTTTTGGTGTCCTCTGCGTAAAGGTTCGTATCATCTGCAAATAAAGACAGTTTAACTTCTTCCTTTTCTAGTCATGTCCCTTTTCTTTCTCTTGCCTGATTGTTCTGGTTAAAATTTCAAGTACAACTGAACAGAAGTGAGATTGTACGCCCTCGTCTGGTTCCTCATTTTCGAGGGAATGTTTTCAGTTTTTCCTCATTTAGTGTGATGATGGCTATGGATTTGTCATAAATGGCTTTTATCAGTTAGCCTTAAGGTTGTTTTTACCTACTTTTATCAGTGTTTTTATCCTGAATGGATGTTGGTTTTGTCAAAGGGTCTTTCGGCATCTATTGAGACTACATCATTTTATCCTTACTTCTATTTATGTGCCACATTACATTTATTAATTTACATATGTTGTACCATCCTTGCAGCCCTAGGATAAAGCTAACCTTGGTCATGATATATGATCTTTTTAATGATTTGTTGAATTCTCTTTGTAAGTATCTTGTTGAAAAGCTTTCCATCTATCTATGGTCATCAAGGATATTGGCCTGTAGTAGTGCTGTTGTTGTTGTTGTTGAGTCCTTGACTGGTTTTGGCATCAGGATAATGCTGGCTTCGTAGAATAAGTGTGACAGTGTTTGGCTCTTCCAATTTCATTAAGAGTTTAAGGAATATTGGCTTTAATTCTGTGCTGTAATTCTGGTAAAATTCGGCAGTGAATCCATTGGGTGCTGGGCTTTTCTTAGTTGATAGGTTTTTTAATTACTGCCTCAGCACCATGGCCTGTTATTATTTTATTCAGGATTTTTATATCTTCTAGGTTAAAATTTGGTAAAAAATCTTACGTGTCCAGGAATTTCTCCATTTCTTCTAGATTCTCCAGTTTGTTGGAATAACAGTTTTCAAAATAGTTTCTCTGGATTTCAGTGGTGTCTGCTGATTTCACCTTTTTCATCTCCAATTGTGTTGATATGTGTCTTTTGTTTCCTTCTTTTGGTAAGGCTGGCTAAAGGTATATTGCTCTCATTTACCCTTTCAAAGAATCAACTTAAAAAAAAAAAACAAAATCAAAAACAAAGAACTAACTCTTCGATCCATTGATCCTGTGTGGTAGTGGTTGATGTTGTCTCAGTTTCATTGATTTCAGCTCTAATCTTTTTTTTTTTTTTTTTGGTACCGCTAATTGAACTTGGGTCCTTGCGCTTGCGCAGCAGGTGGTGAAAATACTGAGCTAAATCCCTGGCCCTCAGCTCTAATCTTTATGATTTCTTTCCTTCTACAAATTTTGGGTTTGAATTGCCCTTGGTTTTCTAGGACCTTGAGATGTATCATTCGGTTCTTTACTTGGCAATCACTCTTTGTTTTCTAATGTAGGCATCCATGGCCATTCCTGGCTTTAGAACGGCTTTCATTGTGTCCCACAGGTTTTGGTATGTTGTATTGCCATTGCCATTTGATACTAAGAATGTTTTAATTTCTTGCCTGATTTCTTCTTTGATCATTGATTTATCCAGTGTATATAATTTATCCTCCATGTCTTTCCACAGATTCTGTGGATTCTTTTGCTGTTGATTTCTAGTTTGCTTCCCTGGTGAGCTGACAGAATGCAAGAGATTATTTCAAATCATTTTTGTTTTTATTCAAATGTGCTTTATGGCATAAGGTATAGTGTATTATGGAGACAGTTCCATAACTTCTATCAAGAACGTGTATTCTGAGGTTGTTGGATGAAACAGTGTAGATAATTCCCATTTGTTCAGTCCTATGGTTCTACTCTGATATTTCTTTGTTGAATTTTTGTTTGGCTGACCTATTTGTGAGAGTGGGGTATTAAAGTCTCCCCATATGACTGTATTGGTGTCTAGCTTTAATTTTATGTCAAGTGATTTTTGTGTTTTATGAAATCTGGTGCACTGATATTCAGTGCATATTTTTTTTTCCAGGACCTTGTGCTTGCCAGGCAGCCACAGTGCCCCTGAGCTACATCCCCAGCTCACAGTGCATATATATTTATAATTGTCATCACTTCCTGTTGAATTGTTCCCTTTACCATTATGTAGTAACTTTGTTTCTTCTGATCAATTGTGGCATGAAGTTCACTTTGAATTAAGATAGCTACTCCTGCTTGCTTCTGGGCTAGTTGCCTGGGGTACTGTTTTCCATCCTTTCACTTTTGCTGCATGTGTTTCTTTGTGGATGAGGCGGCATCTCTTGTAGGTGCCGTGTACTGTAGTTGGGTTTGGGTTTTTGACCTAATCTGCTCATCTGTGTCTTTTGATTGGGAAGTTGTGTCCATGTATTTGAATACTATTATCGCAAGGTATTTGCTGGTTCCTATCATATTATTTTTCCAGTGTTGATTGCTTTCTAATTTACTTTCATTTGCCCTGCAGTTAGATATATCCTTTCCTTAGGGCTTTTTGTTGCTGTTAGCCTCACTCTCTCTGTTTAGAATTCCCTCAAGTATTTTCTCCAATGTTGGCTTAGTCATGAGTTTCTTTAGATTCTTTTTGTCATGGAATGTTTTTATTTCTCTGTCAGTTTTGAAGGGTAATTCCAGGATATAGTAATTTTAGTATTTTTTGTTTATATTGTTTTGGGATTTAATTCTAAAAAACTAAATTCATTTGGAATTTCTCTCTATGAATGTTGTGAAGTAAGGATATATGCACACGTGTATGTGTATTCATACACATGTACATACTTATAATAATGTACATTCATATATATGTCCATATAAATTGAATAATTTTCAGTAGATTATTATATAATTATGTATTTATTATATATTATAGTTATTTTGGATACTCCTTTTAACATAAGCTAAATTCTTACACATAGATTCCTATATATCCCACTTATCCTATTAATTTTACTTATCTATTCCATTTCTGTGCCAATACTACTCTGCTTTAAATCAGTGCAGTTTTGTATCTCAAAATCCAATAGAAGCTGCCCCCTCATTTTACTTCTTGATCCATATTCTTTCTTAGATTAATTTTATAATCTGCTTGAGAAATTCCCTTCCCAAATTCCCTACCCATTTTGTTTAGTATTCCAGTATAATCATGATTATGAAACGAATTGAATGGTTAATAAGTCACTAAATTCAATTAAAAATAAAATAAAAACTAGTATAAGAGAAATAAAAATAAATGAATTTTAAAGATTCAAACTAACAAATAGGACAATATGCTATAAAGAAGCAATAATATTGTTTTCCTTTTTTGCCCCTTTTAAAACTTTTCAAAATGGCTATCAGTAAATCCAGTCATAAAGGGAATAATTATGAAAGCAGTTTATGCCCCAAGCAATGGACATGAAAGTTTTTAATGTATGTACAATGAATGACAAGCCCAGACGGAGACTAAAAGCTCTTCGTGCAAATTCCTGGAGAAAAGCCAGAGTACTGTTAGGCCATAGGGGTTTTCCTGTCATTTCCCTTTGAACTGTGAAGTGACACTCAGGGAGACGCATTCCCAGGAAGGGGAGCTAGGCGGGCAACCACAGAAGAATCTAATATACAGTTTTTAGTTCAGAGTCAAGGAAAAATAATTTAAAGTAATCAACATGAGTCCTTTGGAAGCAGGCCCAACAGACCACCAGAATGTTGTTGTCGTTCTCATAGTAACCTATGACATTTCAGAGTTCACTTTCCTGGCACTGGGTTCCCGGATAATTTAGTGTGGAGTTCTTCCCAGCTGCCTTCAGGAGCCAGTGTGTCTCTGACCTGGTGTGTTCTCAGCAGGCAGGACGTGATTCTGTCTCTGTTCAGTTACCTCACAAACACAGCTGGAACTCTTTCTGGACACTGCTTGAACGCCAAAGACCTCTGGATTCTGTGACATAATGACATAATACTAGTAATTGTTTAATAGCTTTGTGAGTTTCTTTTAATGAAATTCTACATAAATGTTTGAATAAAAGGTTAACCTCAATTTTTATTAACTAGGTTTATTAATTATTAATTTTTCTCATGGAAATAAATCTTTTTTTTTTTGGTATCGGGGATCGAACTTGGGTCCTTGCGCTTGCGCAGCAGGCGGCAAAACTGCTGAGCTAAATCCCCAGCCCCACAAGGAAATAAATCTTAAATCTATAAAATGTTAAACACACCGGTGATTTAGCTCAGTGGTTCTGCCGCCTGCCTTGCAAGCGCAAGGACCCAAGTTCGATCCCCGGTACCAAAAAAAAAATGTTAAACGTGACTTTAAATTTTTGAAATGCACCTCTCTTTGTATAGCCACAATAACTATTAATATGTTTCTCTTTTCCTCAGACTAGAGTCCAAAAACTTATTTTAAATGCATGGAATATTTTTGAACCTCTTCTTTTTGGCTTAGTTGGATCAGAAATATCTATTTCATCTCTTGAAAGAAATTCTATTGGTAAGAATAATTAGGGCACAGAAGGTATAAGATTCAAAAATACTTAGGAAAACTATGAATACCTATTATTTTTATTTATAGTATTTAAGTATCTGTAAGAATCTTCAAAAATCCCATGTTAAGGGGCTGGGGATTTAGTTCAGTGCTTCTGTTGCCTGCCTCAAAAGCAGAAGGTCCCGAGTTTGATCTCCAGTATAAAAAAAGAAACACTCTGCTCTTCCTGTGTTTGTTTACTTGTTTGTTTGACCAGAGATAGCCCTGAATATCTTCCCTGAGTGATCTGAGGAAAGAGATTAAGATTCTTTTCTGAGGGGAAATACCAGACAGGGTCAGATGCTATCACTTTCCTTTAAGTGTTTCTCCAAAAGTCTCTTAGTTCAGAATTGAGTAAATTCAATTCCGAAGTCATCAGTTCAGAACTGTGCGTCTGTCATCTGTCATTCTTCACAGCCGTCCCACCGAGTCATCTTCGGCACCTCATGTGCCAGCCTTAGTCATATTTGTATTCTTTATCATTGTTGTTTACTTTAAAAACACAGAGGTGGCGGGGGATTTAGCTCAGTGGTTTTGCTGCCTGCTTCGCAAGCGCAAGGATCCAAGTTCGATCCCGGTACCAAAAAAAAATAAAAATAAAAACACAGAGGCAACAGCTTTTAAATGCTTTTGCATGTTTTAAAAATCATATCTCTAGCTGGGGATTTAGCTCAGTGGTTTTGCCACCTGCTGCACAAGCGCAAGGACCCGAGTTCGATCCCCCGTTTCCTGGCCCCCCCCCAAAAAAAATCATCTCTCTTAAGGACCCGAGTTCGATCCCCAGTACCAAAAAAAAAAAAATCATATCTCTAAGCATAAAGAACTACTTCTTCCTAAATATTTGTTGCTTATATTTATTTTAATCTGTTGTAGGCACTTGTGTCATTACCCTGTGTTTGGCAGTATTTGTCCGAATTTTAAGCACATTTGTACTGATGTGTTTTGCTGGTTTTAATTTTAAGGAGAAAATATTTATTGCTTTATCATGGATGCCCAAAGCTACAGTTCAGGTAAGAATACATTAAATCACTGTAATAATTTCAGTTTTGGCATTTTTTAAAATTCTTAGTGAAAAATATTACTCCAGTCACAAAATGTTTGTTTAATTAACCTTACATTTAAAATCTTGGATTGATTGTAACTATTTATTGAAAGTATTATAATTTTTAAGAATCTCAACTTTAAAAGTAATTATTCTAAAAATCAAAACTGTACTTCTTTAGTGCAAATAGTGTCTATTTTCCTAAAATATAAAATGATAATGTATCTGGAAAATGGAATTTTTTATTTTGGTAAACATTACAGAGCTAGATGTTAGGATTTTAAAGTAAAGACACTTTTTTTTTTGGTACTGGGGATCAAACTCAGGAACTTGTGCTTTCGAGGCAGGTGCTGTGCAGTACCACTGAGCTAAATCCCTGGCCCGACAAGTTTATTTATTTTTATTTTTTTATTTTTTTTGGTACCAGGGATCCAACTCAGGACCTCACACTTGCACAGCAGGTGCCAGAACCACTGAGCTAAATCCCCAGCCCCCGACACGTTTATTTTTAAGCTATACATTTCCTAACTCTGCCACTCACTTCACCACATGAATATGTAAATGTCTTTAATTATACTTTTTTTTTTTTTTGAGCCACAGTCTCAGTATGCAGTTCAGGCTGCCCTCAAGCTCACTGTGTAGCCCAGGCTGGCCTCAAACTCACAGTGATCTCCTACCTCAGCTTCCTGAGTGCTGGGATTACAGGTGTGCGCCACCATACCTGGCTCTATACATTTATTTTTATGACTGTTTGATTAGTGACTACATCCCCCAAGATACTACATAGGAAAAAAGGGACACAGTGTTTTTTGTTATTTTGTTTTTGTTTCATTACTTTTCCCTAGCATTTAACACAATGCCTGGCAGGCAGGAGGTAAATATGCATTGAAAGCCTACAAAAGTTGATGGATGGGTGGGTGAATTGGGTGGATGGATGGGTGGGTGGATGGATGGATGAAAAGGGAGATGTAGTTTTTTCCTCCTTCTCAGTGAGACTTCTCCCACTGAAAGATATTGCTACTGACTGTTAAACTAACCCCTGGCAGCATCACAACTTCATTTCCTGGAATTCCTACTTCATCACATTGCAAAACAGAAGCTTCTAAGTTCCTGTGCAACCAAATTCTCCATTATCAGGTTAAGAAAGCAAACTGATGGGGGCTCACTGTTTTGAGAACCATGTCACTTGCCTCCCACCTTAGGCAAATTACTTCTTCATCTCTTAGAGCCTCGTTTTTCTCATTTTACAGCGAGATCTGTAACTGTATCTACTGCAGCACAGTGTGGTGGGGATTAAATGAAATAATCTATGTGAAGAGCTTAGAAGAACCGCTGCCTCGTGGGGGAGCTCAGTTCACAGGGTTGTTATTTCATCTTACCTTTGAGAGGATATAAATCATGACTTTGTTTTTAACCTCTGCTGCAGGGAATAATAAATCTACAAAGGGAATACCTGCTATTCTCCCTCCTTCCAACATACACTTGCAGTTTTATTATTCAGATCTCCTTAAGCAGGAAAAAAGAAACAACAGGAAAGAGACCACATACTCACGAGTCCTGCAGTATTATCCCCTTCTGCCTGCTTCTTTCTGCTGGGTCCAGGCTCTGCTGCTGTCAGCGAAAAGAATACCAAGCTGGTTCTGGGGACTGGCAAAGGCTTTCTTTTTTTTTTCCTTTCCTTTCAATGCTGGGGAGTGAAGTCAGGGCCCTGTGTATGCTAGGTAAACTACCACTGAGCTGTAACTACAGCCCCGAATTAATTATTTATATGGTAAAGTCAAACAACACAAGAGATAATGATAGTATCCCACCTATGAATTGAATCAACAAATATTTTAAATTCAAAATTTACAGTTTTTCTCATCTTTATCCTCTTCCTCCATTTTCTGCTCCTGAAATAGAATGGGCCAGACTCCTCTCCTTTCTCTTAAGTCCTCCATTTAGAAATACCAATGAAAATTAGAGTAGACAAATGGAAGATAGCAAGAGGGTAAAGAATTCAGCTCATAAATGTTAAGATGAGTTTTCTGGTTGCATCCTGCTAAAGAAATAACACTAAATCTCAGCCATTACATGGGGCTCTGATCGTAGTTCCCAGAGTGGGTTACGAATGTAAAGCTTGGAGAACGGTACCTGCCGGTGACAAGTGTCATGTATTTGCTTAAATATTATTAGTGTCACTGTTATCACCATTGTCACCCTGAAGAGCAGTTTTTGCCACTTTCATGTTTAAAACCTTTTCTAAATGGTTAGATTCTTCAGAGTTTGTGTTCTGTTTGGTTTATCTTTTTCCCTAGCATCCAGGACTCTGGCTGGCTGCCGTGTCTGCAGTCACTGATTTGGGATGTGGAAGTGGTCCTAACAGGAAGGGCTCTCTTGCCTTAGTGTCCCATATCAAAGGTGATATTTCTATCACCAGGCTGTTACCTCCGGATCTGAAAGGTCCCTCAAAGGCTCATGAAAGGCTCAAAAGCGAGGCTCCTGGGAGGTAACCGGGTTGTGGGGCCGAACCCCATCAATGTATTAACCCACTGTGGGATTGATGACACGATGGCATCACTGGGAAATAGTGGACCCGTAGGAGGTGAGGCCTGACTGGAGGAGTGGGTGACAAGGCTGTGGCTTGGGGACTGTATCTTGTCCCCAGCCCCTTCCCCTCCAGGTCTCTCATTCATGTTATTTCTCAGGTATTTTGTCACATGTTGCTGCTGCTGTAGTTTGCAACTCTAATTTGTATTTAATCCCTAAAAATTTTAAGGCAATTTTTTGCCTACATTAGTTAATATGTGTGTGTTTTTGTGGGGTTTTTTGTACTGGGGATCAAACTCGGGACCTTGTGCTTGCGAGGCAGGCGACAGAACCACTGAGCTAAATCCCCGGCCCTAGATTGGTTAATATGAAGAAATAGAATTAGCAAGAAATTTGTTTTGTGTCATTAAAAATAAATATAATAGAAGATACCTTAGGAATAAATGTGACAACTGAGGGTGGTCACTCTAAAACAAAGAATTCAAGGGCATTCGTCCTTCGGCAGGGGGTGAGGAATGAGTGAGGAGAAAGAGAAACACAAACCTCTCTGAATACCTACTGTGTGCCAGGTATCCTTTGCATGCTCACATTTAATCCTCACACAGAGCCGCTGAGGTAACTATCACGTTGGTTCCACAGTAATTAGGTTAGAGAGTGCCAGTCACCTTGAAGAGCTCATTCACCCGGCTGTGGCAGAAACAGAATTCAAACTCAGCCCTCTGGCTTCCGATCCTCTTGTGCTTGGTGCTGTATCACACACACACACACACACACACACACACACACACACCCAAGAACAGTGAGCTGAGCAACAAAGCCTCATGTCCCCAAGAACCCGAGGGCTGTGCAGGGCCTTGGGCAGCGGCCTGTGGTGTCCCGCAGAGCAGCCGGGCACTGCCTGTTCACCTCCAGCTCAGAGGCCAGAGTACCGTGTACAAACCAGCCCTGGTCCCGCGCCGTTGTGCCATGACCAGTCCCCTCCTCAGGTCTGTCTTCCGAGAAGAAACGGAATTGATGAGCAATCTGCACAAACTGCTCAGCACCTTTCGTTTCTGTCTGACAGTTTAGTCCTAGACTCTGTTTCTAGTAACAGGAGTGTTTACTTTGATTACACCTTACCTCTAATTAGCATTTCCCTTTGCTTCCTTTCCCCCTAAACACAGGCTGTCCTGGGTCCCCTGGCTCTGGAGACAGCACGGCTCACGGCACCCCACTTGGAGCCGTACTCGAAGGACGTGATGACTGTGGCGTTTTTAGCCATCCTGATCACAGCCCCAAACGGGGCACTGCTCATCAGCATCCTGGGGCCCAGGATGCTCTCGCGCCGCTCAAACCCGAGCGCAGTGAGACTGCACCTGCCAGGACTCCGGGCCACTAATGTCATCGCTGCCTCGCAACTGATGTCTCAGTGAATTCGCTCGGCGCAGGACATGGTTAAAGTACAGGTAGGTGCAGCTTGTACACAGGACCCAGAGTCCACTGCATACCTGACCTCTCTGCAGGGCTTCCTCAGATTTATTGCTTCCAACTACACTTGATAATACAGCGTTACATGGAATGCTCAGTGTCTGTATTTCAAGGCCAAAGCTGATCTGTAAATACACTAGGAAACTTGGCCCAGTAAGGCTGAACTGGATGTCATAATACAAACCAAGCAGAATAAAAATCAAATGAGCCGAAATACACAGACGCACCTGCATGTTGAACCTGGGGAGAAGCCTGCGTTTCCAGACAGGAGGAGGAGGACTCTCATCCCGTTAGTTCACTTCAAAACTGATCCGGAAAAGAGAAACAGTGACAGGAATAAAACACATCAGCTTTAAGTGGGTCGGCTAAGTAGAATTTTAATTCTGGTTTTAGCGACTACCTGATTAAATGATGTTAAGGAAAAGAACCAACGTTATCCTTACACTATTAAATGTGGTACACTTAAAAGGAAATCTGGTTGAACAGTTTTTAGATGAAAAATTATCTGTAGTTTTTATTTACAGAAATAAAGTCACAAATGGAAAATACTGTATATTTTTTATTGGTATTTTTTAAATGTAGGCATTAAAGGCAGCCTGCAGACGTGAAAGATTAATAGATGACTATGAGAGTTTCTTTTTCTTGGCAATACAGGATTTTTCCTCAATTCTGGCCAAGGAAATCTGCGTGCCAGCATAAAGCTATCAAGTGTGTCTTTACCCTTTTTTCACTACTTAAGGAATTTTTATTAAAGCAAAAATATTATAGTCTGTAATCCCAGCACTTGGGAGGCTGAGGCAGGCGGGTCGCTGCGGGTTTGAAGCCAATGTGGGCTACATAGTTCAAGGCCAGTCTGGGCTACACAGCAAGACCTTGTCTCAAAAAAAATTATAATCTAAATTATACTTTCTTTTTTATTAGTATATGTTTATGGTGCATAATAGTTGCATTCATCTTGGGGACTAACTTACACCTCTTGCTCAGTGATTCCTTCTAGACATTGTTATAGCACTCTAAAGTGCTACAGTCAAGTTTCAAGAATGCTGTACGTTTTTGTATTCTGCTGAAAATTCTTTCTCCCAGAATCTATAAAACATTGGTGTATTTTTATATTTTGCTACTCGGGTAGATTCTTTGTTTTTAAATAAATAAATAACCCGGAAACATTCTATTTGCTAGATGACATTTGCTTAATACATAAAGTTCAACATTTCCTTTCTATTTTAAAGTTTATTTTACACTTGACAGAGTTCCCCGTACTGTTTAGGTATTTGGTTCCTTCCCACTTTGAACAGCCACTCGCGGCACCGCTCACTGACGGCCGGCGCGGGGCTCCTAGGTCTGGAGCTGGCGTCCGGGTGGCGGGAGCAGCGCCGCCGCGGCTGAGGTCGGGCGCCCAGGCAGCCGGGCAGGCTCGGGGTGAGCCCGCCGCCTGGCGGGAGGACGCTGGGTCCCCCGCCCCTCCCGGGCCCTGGGCGCGCACGTCCCGCCCCGGCGGCGGGCGGTCGGGGGCCGGAGCCTTTCCCGAAGCGGGCGGGCCCGGCCCGGCTCTGGCGCACGCTCGCTCTGCAGTCAGACGCCCCGCTTCAGTGGCGGGATCTGCCATCTGCTCGGAGACAGGACAGAGCCTCGCCAGCCAGGGTTGCTGCACGGCTGCTTCGGTGAGGCCCAGGGTTCGGGGTGCACGACCCGGACCTGTGCCCGCTGCAGATGCCCGGCCCCTGGGGCGGCCCGGCCGGGTCCCAGGTCCTCCGGGAGGTCCGCCCGGCGGGCCTGTCTCCGCCTTCTTTCCTCTCGCCCTCCTTCTCCTCTCTCCTCCTCTCTCCTCCGCCTTCTTTCTCTTCCCTCCCTTTCCCCTCCTCCTCTCCCGCGCCCCAACCGGAGCTCCGGTCTCCATCCACGTTCGTGATGGGGCCGATCCTGAGCTGCACAACCCTCTCCCCTCGTAAGTCAGTTGCCGCGGATGTGTTGTTACAGTGCACGAGGTGTCTGTCTGTCCACATCCTTTGTCTCTTATTTGCCTGTTCATTTTCTTGTTTAGATTTGTGACTGCTCTGTACATGTTTTGGACACCAGGCTTCTCCGGTGTGTGCTTCGCAGGGTCCTTCCAGCCGCACTGTCTTTTCTCTGACAGCTTCACAGAACAGAAGGGTTCCTACCCCCAGGGGCCTCGCCTGTTGCGGGGTATCTGAAAGGCCACCACCAAACCTAAAGTCGCCCAGATTTTCTTTGCTGAGCGTTGTAGCTTTGCATTGTACATTTACGTCTACGACTGCCACTGCTCTTTGGTCAAAACTCCGTTTAATGCATTTGTGTCACTATTTCTGGGCTTTCTATTCTGTTCAATTAATTGATTTTTCTTTTTGTTTGTTTGTTTTGTTTTTGAGGCAGGGTCTCACTATGTAGTTCAGGCCAGTTTTAATGTATAGGCCAGTCACTATGTACCCCAGGCTGGCCTCAAACTTGCAGTCACCCTCCTGCCTCAGCCTCCCAGGTGCTGGGACTACAGGCATGCCCCACCACGCCCAGCTCTATATAATTTTTTAAGGTTCAAAGAGCTCAAAAAAGTAATTATGAAATTAAAAACAAGATTTCAATATACTCTAAAATGCAGAAATTACAAAGGCTTTTGACTACAACGTCATGAAATAAATTAGTCACATATAACACTATTTACAATATTACTGGGTCAAAGAAAATGAAATTGGAAACACCGATTTAGAAAAGTGTGACAATAAAATTGCCTATTTCAGACATAAGGCACGCGGCCAAAGCTGTGCTCGCAGAAATACTGACAGCCTTAGCGCTTTTACTAATAAACTGAAAAGGACAGTGCTGTCACGAACTTCACAGCTTCCTGATGACTGTGGCTTCTTAGTCAGTCTGGGAGCTGGGTGGGGTCAGTCCTTCAACTCTGCCCTTTTTCTCCGTGAATTTGTTGGCTCTTCTGGATCTTTTACCTTTCCATAGAAACTTTAGAATTAGTTCGTCTATATTAACCAAATAACTTGCAGGGATTCCAGTTATGACTTCAGTAAATCTACAGATCAAGTTGGAAAGAAATTATATTTTAATGCTTAGTCTTCCAGTTCATGAACATATAGTATCTTTTTTATTTAGATATTATCTGGCTTTTTGATTCATTTACAGTTTTTTTAATATAGATCATGTACATATTCTAGGAGTTATACCAGTGCTAATATAGTGTTTTTATTGTATATAGACAATTGACTTATACATTAATTTCATATCGTACAGCCTGCAATAATCACTTATGCATTCTATTATTCTTTGCTGATAATTTGAGATTTTGTACATAGAAATGTATGTCTTTTGCAAACAGTTTTATTTCTTCCTTCCCGGATCTGTGTATCTCTTCATTTCTGTTTCCTTTTGTGTTCCCTAGGACTTCCAATTGTGTTCAACATACCAAGTTTCACCATAAAAATTTCACTTCAAATCAGTTATTTCATTAAGAGTTGAAGAACAGGCCCGAGGATTTAGCTCAGTGTTTCCACTGCCTGCCTCACAAGCACTAGGTCAAGGGTTCGATCCCCTGTACCAAATAAATAAATAAATAAAATAAGTGGCCCCAAGAGTTGAAGAATGAGAATTCTTTTGTTCTTTCAACAGTTATTACCTATCAGTCTTCTGTCAAGAATAGCTTTCCTTGGGGCCTGGGATTTAGCTCAGTGGTTTCGCCACCTGCTGCGTAAGCGCAAGGACCCGAGTGCGATCCCAGGTACCAAAAAGAAAAAAAAAAAAACAGAATAGCTTTCCTTTGGTTTTTACAAACTACATTTCCTATATAAGACAGGATTTTTTTTTTGGTACCGGGGATTAAACTCGGGACCTTGTACTTGCAACGCAGTCCCTGGAACCACTGAGCCAAATCCCCACCCCTAAGACAGGATATTTTTTAAAAGACAGGAGAAATGCAAAGTTCTTTCTCTTTTTTTTTTTTTTTTTTTTTTGGAGGCAGGGTCTCTCTTTGTAGTTCAGGCTGGCCCTGAATGAACTATGTGCCCAGGCTGGCCTCAAACTCAAAGCAATCCTCCTGTCTCAGCCTCCCAAGTGCTGGGATTACAGGTGTGCGCCACCATGCCCAGCGGATATTCTTGCTCTTTAAAAACCAGTTTTCAGGGCTGATGCGCTAGAGCTACCTCGGTGCCCAAAGAGATTTTTTTTCTTGTTTATACAAATAAATATTTTCTTGGACTGCTTTTCAGAATATAAATATAGACTTCAATCATTTAAAAATATTTGTTTTCCAACAGAGAGTAGTAAATTGGGGGGCCATATTCAGGCAGGCCACTGTGTTTTTAGTTTTACTGAGATATGTATGTTCCATGGTATACAATTTGCCCACTTAAAGCATACAATTAAGTGATACTTCTGTATTTACTGTTACGGTTTGAGGAGGAAGCATCCCCCAAAGACTCGTCTATTGAAGGCTTGATGCCAAATGCAGCCATGTTTAGAAGCAGGGCCTAGAGAAGTGAGAGGATCATGACGGTGCTAATGAAAAAAATCAAGTAATAGCTAAATAAATATATCTCGTATTCCTGGACCGGAAGCCTATTAGCTGAGTGGGCAGTTAGGAGGCAGGGCCTAGCTGCAGGAAGTCAGTCCCTGGGAAGAGGCCTTTGTAGGGTGTATCCTGTCCTCACCTCCGACTTTCCCTTTCTCCCAGCCATGGGGTGAACAGCTTTCCTCTGCCCCTTAGATGCTTCAATCTCATCAGAGGCCTAGAGCAATGGTGCTAGCCAACCATGGACTGAACCCTCTGAAAACATGAGCCTAAACCTTTCCTCCCTTGACCTGTTCTTGTCAGGTATTTGGTCACAGTGATGCAAAGCTGACTGACACTTTTACAGGGTTAACAACCATCACCAATAAAATTTTCATCACCCCACAAAGAATCCTAAATTTACTAGGAGTAACTCACCACTTCCAGCCAAGCCCCTCAACTCCTAGC